GGAGGGAGAGGAAAAGGCAGTCCAGGCGTTTGTCCTCTTCCCCTGGGCCAGTTCCTTCCCACGCTGAAAGAAAAAAAAACAGCCAACAAACCGACAAAAATCATCAAATAAGCAGCCGTTTGAAAGAGCCTGCAGCACGCTCGGCCACGTCCGAATGCTGCGGGGCCGGGGTGCCGTGTCCTCCCCTCCCGGGGAGGGGGAGCCGAGGCCAGCCCCCTCCCACAGCCAGCTCGGGCCGCAGTTAGGACAGTTCCTGCTGCCCGCTGCTACGATCGATAGCGGCTGCACGGCCAGATGATCGCACGCAGCCCACGCGCTTGGCACAGAAACAAGCGTTTTTCTGGGAAAAACAGGGGGTGGGAGGACAGGATAGAAGTGCCCCCGCTATCTGCGGGCAGCCATCCCCGCTCTCGGTATCTCCTCCTGGATACGGGCCCTCCTCTGGGGGGGACGGCCGGGAGGAGACTCCCCAGCGCCGTGTTCAGCCGGGTATTTCCTCTCCCCCCTCCACGGCGAGAGCGGTCCCGCTCTGGCCTCGTAATCTCCCTTTGGAAAACAACCCCGGGGACGGTGAGCTCAATCGCTTCATCCCCGCTAAAAGCGGGGAAAGGCAGCAGCCGGTGCTCGCAGAGCGGGCTCGGGCTGGGTAAGAGGGGAGGGACTGAAGCACCTCGGCGCGCAGAGGAGAATCAAACCCCTACGAGCATTCCCTCCGCTCCAGTTAGCGCCGTAACCGATTTTCCAATCCCTATTTGGGAGGCGCAGCACGCATCCACCCTTAGGTAGCAGGAAGGCGCTCAAGAATTTGTCTTTCTGAGAAACCTTTTATTTGGCGCAATCAATGCTAGCGTTTTTCAGAGCGAAACCATTCCTTCCTCCCCCCTACTGAGAAAAGCCTCGAGTACAGGGCTTCTGCCGCGCTCGCGCCGCACAAAGCTGCGCTCGGAGGCAGGGCCCGCCGCGATGCAAGGAAATTCAGTTCTTCTGAGTAACACGTGGGTGTGGAAAGCCCAGCCTCTGGATTCACAGCAGCCTGCTGCAAACTTTTTGTTACCAGAAGCGGACTGACCACAAAACTTTTCATTGAGAAGGCCTCGGTAAAGAGCCGGATCGAAGGCTGAACTGCCCCGATTTCCGGGGCCGGGGCTGCCGTCGGGGCCGGGGTTAGGAGCAGCAGCTGCACCTCGGCGGTCTGAGCGCTGTTCCTACGCTGGAGCTTTGCCAGAGGCTTTCACGGAAGCAGGGTCAGGAGCTGAACCGGGAACCCCGCGGCGTGGGGACAGATCATCTCGTTTCCCAACGCACGACTGCCTTAGCAAAGAACCAGACAATCCTGTTAAGGCCTCACAGAAGCCCGGGGGAGGAGGAGTTAAAAAAGGAAAAATCCAGCGGCACTTGGAGCCAGATATTCCGCTTTCGTGCCCTTTAAACAAAACCATCCTATCATGACCTTTGCCCCCCTTTCAGGGAGCGCGAGTGACAGTGAGAAGCAGGGAACCTTTTGCTTTCTCCTTACCCAACCGGTCCGTCCCAGCAGCCTAATTCTCCATCTGGCTCACTGCTTCGTCCCGGCCCTCCGGAGAGTTTGCTGGCTGAGGGGTAGACAAGTGTTCCAGCTCGTAATGTCCGTTCCTCGCGGCCGCCGCGCTGCTCGGGTGACCCCTTTCCGCTGCCAGCTTTTTACTCTTCTTGCTCTCAATGATCTGCTGGAGCTGACGCCCAGCGTAGTCTGGTTTGGCCGTGAGCACAGTAGCGGGCACGGCGAGCCCGAGGATTTCGGGTACCATGTAGGGCCGGAGCCAGCCCACCAGCGGGGTGCTGCCGGGGGTATAGTGGGTTTGCTTGTGATAGAAGAGAAGTCCGTCGACCTGTAAAAAAATAACAAAAAGGAGAGAGGAGCGAACGAAAGGCCGGAGCTGGAGGCTGTTGCAGGTGGGTGACAGAGCGCCAGACGACAGCGCCCCTCTCCATTTACAGGCCAAAACTACCAGCTGGATCGTTTTTCCCCTCAAGCAGCGCAATCAATAGCGGAAGGGAAAGAAGAAACCTGCAGAGCTCCTGTCCCGAAAGATCAGCGCGAGCCCAGCAACTGCCGGATGGCTTTAAATCGTCAAAGGCAAACAATTTCAGCCCGGTGTCGGCACGGACCAGCGCTTTTCCTCTAGTTGCTACGACCCCATTCTGCAGAAGAGCCATCGGGTTTCCGAATAAGGCAGCGCACAGAAAGGCCGCTTTACTGGATTAAGGTTATTTTAAATAATACATTGGGAGAGTAATTAGTCAGAGCGCACGACGCCAAGGAGCCCCGATTCGTAACGCTGCGACAGCTCTTTCAGCTGGCTTATGCAAAATAAATTCTTCACGTTTCCCAAGAGAGAACTTCTCCAGCAATCAATGACAGTTAAGGGCACTCAGGACTTCGAAGGTTTAGGCCCCAACTCTTGCGCTACTATTTCCACACTCCGCAGTATTGCAGCTGGCTGACGTTTTCCCCGCTTCCCCACCACGCCGAGGGATTTTCACCCCCCTCTTCCTGCGCTTCCCAGGGGTGTACTCTGCAGGGTTAGATCCCGCCGTCAGGCTGACTAACGCTGGAGGTGGTGCTCCTCTTAGCTCAGCCTCGCAAGCTCTTAAAAAGCCATTTGCCCACGAGTAAGAGCGGCTGAGTGGGCAGAAGGGATGAGAAAAAGAGCCCACCTCGGACCGAGTTGCTCCCAAGGCCCCTCCCCGAGCCTTCAGCCCCCAGAATATATAGGGCAGAACGGCACCTATATCGGCAGTGAGCTGAGGCACGGCTGAGCCAAGCAGATCGAGGCGGTATCTGCTACCGTGCTGGACTGCGAGCCAGGCTGAGCAAAGAGCAGCCTACGTCCATCTCCGCTCCACGGATGCTAGCCTCCAGCAGAGAGGGTAGAGCTTCTTGCACTACTCTGTCCATAGTTTTCAGTCCCTGTTCAGATCTTGCAAAGTAATCCCAGAAAAAGGGGGATTCCCGTGCTAGGAAAACATAAAACCAGAACAGTAAACATCACGATGAGCTTGTGTAACCCTCTGCATATCTAAAGTGCAAAGCTTCTCCCTCCCCCTGCCTCCCGGGAAGACTTGGGAAGAGCCAGATCCTGCGGCACCCCGGCACCACGCCTGCACATCCAGCCCATTCCTGCGGGTGTGCGGCGCTTGGCGAGCAACGGGGATTCTCCGGCACCCACAGGAATGTTTTGGTAAAGATCAGAGCCTGGAAAGGCTCCTGCCTTCCAGACCGCCCCAAAGATCTCCCCCGAGCTGGAGAATTCAAAGGAGTTCAGCCTGGTGGAGAGTTAGGTCACGTTCTTCCTTCCCCTGATTTCTCTTAAGTTACTGCAACTCCCATTTATTTAGTTTGGGGGCCGGGTCCCTACCCCGAGTCACCGCACTGACACCAGCCGCATCAGAGTAAGGGCTGACGCTGTCCCTAAACGACCGAACCTGACGAGAAACTGGCCTGGCTGGATTTCACGTTCCACGGCCATGCCTTTCAGATTTTAGGTGCTTAACGGTACGCCCACTCCTTCACACCGGGGCTTCTCAGAGACTTTGGCTCCCCCTGCCTTCGTGGAAACCTGAACGCTGTTTTACTCGCATCTGCGAGTAGGACAGTAGCTCCTAAGATCCACTCCAAAACACACTTCAAATTCAGTGCCAGTCAACTGATCCAAAGTCCACTGAATTCAGTGGAAAAAATTTCCGCTGAATATAGCGGATCGGGTCCTAACTCTAAGGTTACAGATTAACTCTGAAGACCCAGATCTGAAAGCACTGAGCACGTCTCTT